GAAATGAATAACTATTTCAGCATACTCTGTCCAGGCATGGAACATTAGATGGAACCCAAGGGAACGAACGACACAAGTGTCGACAATAAAAAAGAACTCTTGAAAACAAGCAAAAAGCAAACGGGCATAAAGTGTCCAGAAAAAGTGAGTAAATGTACCAAGAGAAACACAAAAGAGCGTGACGATTATCCAAGCTTTCCTAAAATTGTCTTTCCACTAAAGCTACAGATTTTCTCTGTGATTATCTCCAATATTTTCTCTCATCAAAACAAACAACTTATGACGTGAAAACTTATTAGCCAAAATGCTTTTGCATTCTACTGTGGCTGATATACCACCATTCAGCTTGCAGGTATTTAAATAGATAAATATAGGGGGAAAAAACCAAGGATGGTTCTTTTAAGAAGGCCTCGTTTAGTTCCAAAACATATCTTAACAAGACTTACCCGATTATATAATCATTTTCAGGGACCGGTTGTGTAATGAGCTAGATGGAAAATAATTGGAGGCATGCAGATTACTGAAGGCAAATGGAAAAGCAGAATGGGGTAGCTATGCACCAAATTACTGGAGTATGGTAAACAATGGTAAACAGATAAAATTCATTAATACAGGCAGCAAAATATGATATACATTCACAATAATTTTATGAGTCATAACAAACAAGTTTTTATTTAGAACTGATTCATAATATAATAGCATACATACATAAAAACATGCTTCTAGAGTAAGATGGCAGTGTGATTTCGAGGAGAGATGCAAGCGCACAGTGGGGTCTTCATGACGGTAGTGAACTCTTCCTTCTCAGAGAGGTCAACTTGATGTCCTGGAGGAGACGTCCACTCAAAGTGCCAAATCAAATTGGCAACAAAATACTCCAAGTGAAGCAGAGCCAATGCAGATCCAGGGCATATTCTCCTGCCAGCACCAAAAGGCATCATTTTGATCTCTCTGCTACTTGTTATATCGAACTGCTCCCCCAAGAACCTCTCGGGCTTGAATTCCAATGGATCCTCCCAAACCTTAGGGTCCCAACCCATATCAGCCACCATGAAATTCACAACTGCATTCTTTGGGACCAAGCAACCGGCCAACTCAACATCTTGTGTAACCTTATGTGGCAAAACAAAGTGGCCCGGAGGATGCCTCCTCAGGGCCTCTAACACCACAGCTTTAAGATATGGCATTTTCTGCAGCTCATCCTCCTCAACTACTTGCTGCGACTTTTGGCCGACAACACCAGTTATCTCATGGTAAAGCTTTTCCTGGATGTGTGGGTGCTTGACCAAGTTCGCCATGATCCACTGTAGAGCTGTGGATGTGGTGTCCGTACCCGCATTCAGGAATTCACCACAAAGCCCCACCATCTCCTCTTTGTCTAATCTCCTGTTGTCTTCTTCTGGAAGCTGCAAATCAGCAAGTGTGTCCACGTAAGCCACTGCTTCATCTGGTTTCCTCGTTTGCTTGGACTGCAGACGAAATTTAATGAGTGGAATCAACACTCTGTCCTGGTCTTGGCGCATCTGGATTAATTCCTTCCATCGCCGGCGGAAGAAAATCTTCCCGAGTCGAGGCCACATGTTGAGGACATTGAATCTGCGGAATCCCAAAAGGAGACGGGTCTGCACGCCTTGGACCTCCTTGATCTGACTCTCCTTAAGCTCATCTCCAAAGCACATCAAAACCAGCAGGCAGAACATGGCGTACTGGAAATGATCGATAAGCCTCACTGAAGAGGAATCTGACGATGATGCGTGGGCTTGGAGGCGGGTGATGAGAAGGGAGAGGACCCAGCGGCGGGAGGTGGAGTGGAGCTTGACACGGGAGGGGTGAAGGATTTCGTGGCTGAGGTTGCGGCGGAGTAGGCGCCACGTGGGCCCATAGGATGAGGAGCTGATAGCTATCTGGGATCTGTTGAACACTTTCCTGGTGGGCGGCGGGGCAGGGCGGTCAGCGAAAACAGCACCGTTGCTGACTAGTGCGTGGTGAGCGAGCGAGTGATCTCCGACGAATATAAAGGGGCGGTGGCCGATTCTCAAGGTTATGAGGGGACCGTACCTGGGTTTAAGGTTGCGGAGGACGAACTCCAGGTCGGAAATTGGCTTCCGGAGCCATATTAGGTTGCCGACGAGCGGTATGCTTGGGGGTCCCGGCGGAAGGTTTTGCTCTTTGGTGGAGGTGAAGAGTGTGGAAATGGATTTAGCAAGGGCTAAGATGCAGAGTGAGATGACGAACACAAACCAGGGTTCCATGGCTTACTCCTCACGCTCTTGCCTTCCACTAATCAGTAATCACACTCCAAAATCCAACCGATAATCCAATAAATAGGAAACGTAGCATTCCCAAATAAAAATCACTTTTTTTTCGAACATATTTTATACTCCCTCCTATTTTTTTTAAATGTCATTCTAATTTTATCAACTATTTGCTAAATAAATGTCGTTTTGAATCTTTTATACATATTTTTCCATTATTACCCTCATTTAGCTAATAAATACATTACGTCTTTTCATATTCACTCTTCACTTTTTCTCAAAACATCCATCTCTATATTCATTAAATAAGAGTATTATTGACAAAAAAATATTCTTAATTAATGTGCAACTTCTCAAAACGACATCTATTAAAAAAGGAGGTAGTATAAAATACCATACTTTTTAAATCCAGCCCAGAAATCGACCTGGACAAGTTTCCGGGTCACCAGTTCAACCGTCGGGTCACCATATCAATTGTTGAATCAGATAATTAATTTTAGAATTTTTAAAATTATATATATAGTATTTTTGACATATAAACATACATAAAAGTAACAAAAATAAATATTTTGTATATAAAATTTGTATATTTAAGTGTTAATAATATTGAATCTCACAATAAATATTTACTATGTCATTATATAAACATAATTTTTATTTTTTATATAAAAGAAATATAAAAAAAATTATAGAGACCGGGTCAACCGGGTTGACCCGGCCAGGTCAATGACCCGGGTCAACCGGGTCAAGGCGGGTTGGCCAGGTTTTGACCGGGTTTGACCGGGTCCATTGTTACCCGGATCGGTTTCGGCTCTGATCAACAGGGTCCCGGGTCGACCTGCTGGGCCGGGCCAGATCACAAAACAATGTAAAATATACATAATTACAAATAGATATTAGCCTGAATAAGACAAGCGACCATCAAACTGAATCTACACAACAAACTAAACAATCCCACAAAAAAGAATCGAACTTCAAAAGAGAAAAATCACACTCCTAGAAAGGAGATTCAAGCTTCCAAAGAGAAGAATCACACTCTTAATTAAAAGAATCTACACTAACAACACCCAGAACAACATAAAAACAAAACAAATACACAATATGAGAATAACCCTTCCCCCAACCGGTCAAAAATTGCGAAGCCACGAACACAGTACCCGGAGACGACAGCCCACACGGATAGGAACTCAGGCTGAATATAGCTCCAGAGACAGCTACGTCGGCTAACTGAAACCACACCACATGCCAAATTCACTACCCAAGTAGACCACTTTGTAAGAAAAAAATAGTTTCGTATTGATTTAACGGTTTTATTTTTTGTAAATGGAAGACTTAGAAAATTCTCAAAACCAGTTTAAGATGAATGAGAAATTAATTTTATGTTGTATATGTGAAAAATATAAGGTTGAAGCAATTGAGTTTAAGTAACTCAAATACTATTGGATTAACAAAACATTTCGTCTTTGATGAGTGTTAGGACAATCCAAACAAAACGTAATCATCTTGTTTGCATGCTCGAACTCTATAGGGGTTCGTTAGGGATAAGTAGAAAAAAAAAACTCGATTTTGAGTCCGTATGAGCTCGTACGAGCCCGCAGCACACGGGCGCGCAGCTAGTCGCGGCCACCAAAGGGTCATGACCATTAGGTGTCTTTTGACCACTAAATCTATTCGTTGTTGTTCAGACACGTCCCAAAAGGTGTCTTTTGACACTTAAACCTCTTGGAGGTGTTTTTCTACATCTATAAATACCCACAAGCATGAAATTATTTAAACGAAAATTTTGAAGAGCTCTTTGCACCTTTTTACAAAGTTCATAAATCATCTTGTGTTCTTTGTGTTCCTTTCTATCTTGAGAGTTCTGAAACTTAAGTATTGTTCACCGAAGGTTTGTGTATTTGAATTACCGCTATACACAAATCAAAAGTCAATGTATCTTGGAGGCGTTAGCTATGAACCGTGGGTAATATAGGGGGTTATTTCGTCTTAAGGAGAGTGTATCTTACGTGGCTCAACTTTATTCGTTTCACCATTTTTCTTCTAATTTCTTAAGCCATTTCTTGAGATTCACATACGAAAAGACTACACACTCCAGACCAGCGACCGAAGGTGAGCTCTACATTATCCAACCCACCAACTAAGGATTGCGGGCACAAACCGACATGATAACTTCATACAAACCAACAACCAAGGCCACAACACACAACCCGCAGCCCGCATCTGACCCGAATCTCAAGCACAGGGAAGTACGTAAAAAGGGAAAAGGAGAACTTTACCTCAACCCCGACCAACTTCATGGAGACGATTGGAACTGGCCACTCGAGCCCATCTCAGCAATCGTCTGAAACTCGTATGGACATAGTCAACCGACGAGAGCGGCGAAGCACTACACCGGAGAGGACAGATGACACTTCGAGAGACGAGCAGCACGGCCCGCCGGTGACGGTCATGGTCGTGGCGTCGCGGAGAGCCCGGAAGGGGAGAGGCACCGGCATATTTGAAATTAATATATTTTAGATTGGGGGAATTTGTCGTAATGAGCGAGAGAGCCGATGTTATTTTTATAAGATATAGTCAAAGAGGGAAAAGTAAATAAATAAATATCACTTGGTTGATTTTTTTTCTCAATAAAGTACACGGACATATATTTATTTTTCAATTAATTTTTTTAATAAATATATAATCTATGCATTCCTTATATACTAATTCAAAACGAGCATAAGAGATTGTATACACATTACTATTTCGGAATCAAAATTTTGTACTTCGTAATTTGGTTTGTATATACATTATTACTTTGGAATCAAAGTTTGATATTTAACCACTACAACAAAAAGAGATATATCGGACATTTATTTGGAATGCTTTTCATTATGTATCCTAATTTCTATTTGGGACACTTATTAATTTGAGAGCAAAATAAAAATATATAAAAGAAAAATAACTTATAGATTGACTGAAAAAAAAA